TTCTTCCATGTGGGCTTTGTTGCTTCTGAGCTAGATGGCCGCTTGTTTACCTCAACACAGCTTTGAATTTTCTTAAAAATTCCTCCTAAAAAGCCTCTTTGCTCACTTTGTATCCTTTGATAAAAGTTATCAACATCACCCCTTTGGAATTCCCCCTAGAAAGTTTCCATAACCTTCTGAGCTAACCTCTCTACCTTGAATTTGACTAGCCTAGCAGACCCTCTCAGAAGCCACTGTTCTGATTGGACTTTTTTTTAATGAAATGAAACAAACCCAAAACCTACTGCCATCAAGTCAATTCCAACTGTTAGCAACCCTAAGTAGGCCTATCAAAACTAACTCATCTTTCTCCTGTGGAGCACATGGTGGGTTTGAACTGCTGACCTTGTGGTTAGTAGCCCAATGACTAATGATGAGACCAAGACAAGTGTGTTACTGAAACAACTTGTTTGCAGCCACTCACTGATTACAGAGGCATGTTTAAACAGAGTTTGTTTAGAATAAACTCATACATGTATAAACTGGAATCCCAGTAGTAGTACTTTTTTGACTTACCCTCATGCCTTAGTTTTGCTTTTATAGAGAACCCGGCCCACTAGTGCCACCAACAGCAGGCCTCAGTTCAGGGCCCTCCCATTGTTGCCCCTTGATCTCTGGGCACGGGGCCCAGAGGGTTGTCTAGAGGCCCCAGGGCAAGAACAACTTTTTCCAGCTTTGTCCACTTCATGCTGTGCCTTGTGACCTCCAGGCTGCCAGCCAGGATGTGGGGTAGGACATTGGAGAAACAGGTGAATTTGGTAATGTTTCCCTCTGTGGGTCCTTCTGTTGTGCTGACATTCATCATACCCCCCCACCCCCACCCACCCCCCCGCCTTCCTTCTGTCTGTCTTTCTCTTTCACGACAAGCAGAGGGCAACAGAGGGCCCTGCTCAAACAGCCTGAGTGTTGAATCTGCTCTGCGTGCCCCTCTGATGTAAACAAGTGCTAAGGCAAGAGCCTGGGCTGAGGGCTGCTTGCACCCTCAGGGTGTTTTAGGGAAGTAAGTTGGGCCTGGGACAGGTGGACAACACAAAAGTAGTTCATGGAGGGCATTCCTGAGGCTGCTGTGATGGGGCCATGTGGAACCACAGTGCTGACCTTGGAGTTTACCCAAAGAATTCCAGGGTCTGTGACCCTCTGAGGGAGCCCTGGTGGTGCAGTGGTTCTGTGCTGGGCTGCTCATTGCGAGAGCAGCAGTTTGAAACCACCAGCCACTCCACAGGAGAAAGACGGGCTTTCTGCCTCTGGAAAGAGTTACAGCCTTGCACAGACAGGACCGTAGGCCTGGCCCCACCAAGAGACACGACATCCTCTCACTGACACACGGCGCGACATAGGGACAGTACTGGAGACATAGTGCGGGAATTGTGGCCAGTTTGACCCCCCACAAACTGGGGTGAAACACAAACAAAGCGCAACAGAGCAGCAAGGGGAACAAAGCAACCAAGTCCCTGAGAAATCCTGAAAATAGACTTTGGACTTAGGTGGTAGGGCTTGGCACTTCATCAGACCCGACTGGAAAACATTCATAAGGGTCATCAGACAGAACTGGAACTATTTATGCTCTCCCCTCCCCTGTCTATCTGTATAAGATAGGCAGGATAAACAATCCTGAGGAGAAAACAAGGGGACTGACGGTTCCTGGGGGACGTGGGAGAGGAAGAGGCGGGAGAAAGTGAGGAGGGAGCCAACAAACTGGGGGGCAAGGGAACAGCAAGAGATCTAAGACCGATGGAAAGGAGGGTGTAGAATCCCTGGTGAGGTTTGATCAAGTGCAATGTAGCCGAGAGGAAGTACAGACAGCTGAATGAAGATCGAACATGGTAGTGGGCCAGGAGGAAATAGAGGAAAGAACTAGGAGGCAAAAGAAATTTATAGAGGTATAAATATAGGCATGTCTATATATAAATATGTTAATATATAACAAAAGGGATATAGGTACTATATATTTATGTGTTAAGTATTAAGATAGCAAACAGACTTTGGGCCTCTATTCAATTACCCCCTCAACGCAAGAACATTTTGTTCTAATAACCTGGCATTCTGTGATGCTCACCTTCCTGACATGATGGCTGAAGACAAAATGGGTGCATAAGCAAAGGTGGTGAAGAAAGCTGATGGTGCCCAGCCATTAGAAGATATAGTGTCTGGGGTCTTAAAGGCTTGAAGTTAAACAAGCAGCCATTTCCAGGGAAGCAACAAAGCCCACATGGAAGAAGCACACCAGCCTGTGTGATCATGAGGTATCAACGAGATCAGGTATCAGGCATCAGAATATCCAAAACAAACAATCATATCAATGCACACAAGGGAGATTGGAGTGGAAACCCAAAGCCCATCTGTAGACAATTGGACATCCCCTCACAGAAGGGCCACAAGGAAGGGAGGAGCCAGTCAGGGTATAGTATAGCAGTGACGAAACCCACAACATACCTCTAGTTCTTTAATGCTTCCCACCCCCCACCCCAGTACTATGACCCCAGTTCTACCTTACAAATCCAGCTAGACTGGAGCATGTACACTGGTACAGATAAAAGTTCTTGACACACGGAATCCAGGACAGATAAGCCCCTCAGGAACAGTAATGGGAGTAGCAAGACCATGAGGGAAGGGGGACGGTGGGGTGAGAAGGGGGAGAAAGGGGGAACTGATGGCAATGATTGACATATAACCTCCCTCCCCAGGGGGGGTACAAACAACAGAAACATGGGTGAAGGGAGACAGCAAATGGTTTAAGATAAGAACATAATAATAATCTATAATTCATCAAGGGTTTGCGAGGGTAGGAGGGTGAGGAGGAAGAGGAAAAAAGAGGAGCTGATATCAAGGGCTTAAGTAAGAAGAAAATGTTTTGAAAATGATGGCAACATATGTACAAATGTGCTTGATACAACTGATGTATGGATTGTTATTAGAGCTATGAGAGCCCACAATAAAAGTGTGTGTATATATCTATATATATATACACACACACACATATACATATAAAGAGTTAAAACCTTGGAAGCTTACAGGGACAGTTCTATCCTGTCCTATAGGGTCACTGTGAGTCAGTATTGACTCGATGGCAGTTTGGTTTGGTGGCCTTCTGAAGGGGACCTTAAAAATGGCTTTGCAGCAAGATAGGATACCTTTCCTGTATAGAGGAGGCCGAAGGAGGGAGGGCATTGTACCCTGGGCACTCTGACAATTAAACAGTATATGATGACTAGGTCAGGCTCCCTAACCTCGCCCCCAAGACTGCACAAGGCTCCTGTCTTCTGCTCTGGTTCATCCCTCATATACTCTCGGATTCTAATCCCCAGTGGCCTTCCTCCTGTGCCTTCAAAGAGCCACTGCAGTTTGTAATTGCGATCTTGGCTGGCTGGAGCTCTGAGTCTGCAGAGCAGGGCTTGGGGAGTGACTAAGCGCTGGTACAGTACTGACTAATGGGAGGAAGAGGTGGGGATTATTTCCAATGGACTCTGCACATTGTGGGGGCTGGGAGTGCGAATGTGGCACCAGTAGTGCTCGGATAAAATGTCTTGCTCTGAGGGCAGAGATCTCCAAACAGACACATAGGCGAAGAAAAGCGAAAAGTCGCTAACCCGAGCTTCATCTAAAGAAGCTGGAAAAGGAACAGCAACACGAACCCTACGAAAGTAGAAGGAAGGAAACTTAGAGAGATAAGATCAGAAACTGGTGAAATAGGAAGCAAACATACACTAAAGAAAACCAAAAATGTCAAAAGTTGGGACAAACAAAATGTATCTGCAGATTGCACGCAGCCCTGGCAGTGCCAATTGATAGTCCCTGACAAACGGAGACCCTTTGCCCATGTTTAAGATGTGAGGGGTTAGTGTCTTATGGATGTTAAAAGATCACTGAAAAACATAAGGACAGGGAGAAAAGTTTTGTAAGAAAGACCTCTCTGGGAGTTAAATAGACGTGAATGGCGGAACTAGCTCTAGCAAGCTGGGGCTTGCTCAAAAAACAAGCATAACTGTCTTCTAACCAAGAAGATATTTCTGTGGGGACAAAAAGAATACTAACAATTTTCACTCAAGAAATTAAAAGAGAAAATAGAAATTACCAACCTCAAGAATGGAAAGGGATGCTGTTACAGATCCTGCAGATAGTCAAAGGATAAGCTATTTTTATTTTAATGCTCTCCAAATGTCAACCGTTTTCTCATCCCACGGCTTCTGAGTTGGCTGCACCCACAAGGACAGCAGAACGCAGCAGTCGTGCTCAGCCCTCCTCCACTCCTGGAAACAGAACAGGACAGTATACTTTTAGCTGGGGCTTAGTGAAATGTATTATTGAAAATGTAATGGCTTGGATGGAATTGAATAGAGCACCGTGGAATGGAACAAAACAATCAGACTTTACTTAGGAGCAGACATTGGGTTTAATTGTTTCAGCAGCTATTCATTCATTGAACAAGTATGGTTGAACATCTGCTACTTGTTTGGATGCAATAGGGAACAAAACAGAAAGAAATCCTTACTTTTTTGAAGTTTATATCCTAATCTTGGAGATATATATTAACATGTGCAAAGGCCCAGAGGCTAAACAAACAAGAATCATACTTTAAAAAAAACACCTCAATAGCAGTGTTTTATTTTGGGTGATGGTGGTGGTGGTGGTTTGGTACTTTAAAAAAAAATCATTTTATCGGGGACTTGTACAACTTTTATCATAATCCATACATACATACATTGTGTGAAGCACATTTGTACATTTATTTCCCTCATCATTCTCAAAACATTTGCTTCCTACTTGAGCCCTTGGTATCAGCTCCTCAAGCATCATACTTTTAAGCAACAGACCAAAGTACAGTAGCGTGGCTTGGTCTTCAAGAGCAGTGGATCAAGTTGTAGAGGTTAGGAGCCAGGGTAGGGAGTCTGGTTTTTAACAAAATGACAATGTCATCATCATCACAGTTAACCCTTTTATAGCATTTGCTATGTATCAGGCATTGTTCTGAGTCTATAAAATATACAACAATAAAAAAATATTCACAACAATCTTGTGAGACATGTATAAAATTATGCCCCCTTTTCAGAGGGGATACCAAAACCAAAGTTACTTTGGTTTCTTTCTGTTACCTAAACTACTATACCACTGTGCTACCAGATCACAGGACTCTTAGAATTTTATAGCACATGTACTGTAAACACACAAATTATTAACAAACGCAAGTCAGAAAACAGAAGAGAAACATCTGGGAAAGAATCCAGAGAGCAGGCTAAGGGAAAGGTACACCCACTGGATGTTGAGATGAGTATCTAAATACAGATTCCCAGAAACATTTCTTTCATCTGAGATGCTTTGTCCTTGTCTGGACTTCTGTGTAGTATGCTAAGGAGGATGACTGGGTCAACCGAGGCAAGGGAGGCCTTGCACTCATAGGGTTAGGTCTCCTTTGTGTCTTGTCAGGTATTTTTTTAGGAAAGAGATGGATTCGTTTGGGGATCACGAAGGAGAAGTGGGTCCTGATCTCGCCTTATCTTTATTCCTAGCCCTTTAAAAGGAGAAATAGGAAAACAAACCGGTAGAGATACATGACCTCTTGTGAATCCATACTTGGGAAATTAGAGTGTACTGAAGTTTTCTCCTGGACTTTTCTTTTGAAATAGTAGAAAGTATAGGGTTCAGCGGAGATGAGATGGAAACATGATAATCAATGACAATGTCTTTTTTTCTGTTTTGGTTTTTAGTTGTGGAGAAACAGCAGCCAGACTCCTCCCCCCTGTCTTATCCAGAGACTTGACCACATTGTGATGACAGTAAAGAGTATCCAAGACACCATAATGTTTTATTCCAAGATTCTGGGCATGGAGGCTGTGACTTTCCAGGTAAGCATTTGCCCAAATACCAAATTGCAGATGAAGTAATATTTGATTGTATACCAAAAACCCACACAATCCACTGCTACAGAGTTAATCCCAAGTCATACAGCCCTGCATAGGTTTCTGAGACTGTAAATTTTTACGGGGGCAGACAGCTTCATTGTTTCCCCAGCCAATGACTGGTGGGTTTGAACGGCCAATCCTGTAGTTAGTGATCCAACAATCTCACCCTACCTTGAAAACACAAACAAAATCTAAGACAAAAGATAAAAGGATCAATGGAGAAGATTCCAAACTTTGAATAATAGGACTTTCAGAGGGTGAACAATGAAAAAGGGGAGGAAATTAGCATAGACACAATCCAAGAAAACTTGCCAGTCTTTATATGGAGTTAACTGAACAGCTACTATATTGATGCTTAGATATTACTTTATGAAATTATAAAACATCAAAGTGAAAAAGAAAGATCTAAAAGCCCCTGGAGAGATTAAAAAGAAAAGTAACTCAAGGGAAACAGTAGTTCAAGGGAAACAGTAACAAGCAACAGTAACTGTTACAGTAACAGTAACTCAAGGGAAATAGTAACAAGTAACAGTAACTGTTAGAGTCACAGTAACAAGGGAAAAAGAAACACGTACACATCAGATTTCTCAAGTTACACCAGAGATCAGGAGACAATTGCATATGACACCTTCAAGATTCTGAGGGAGAAATTTTTCAACCTATAATTCTATGCTTAACTAAATTATTAATTCAGGGTTATATAGAATTAATATGTTCTTAGATATAATAAGACACAGAAACTTGTCCCACTTGCTTTGAAAATTACTTGACAAAATGTTGTATCGAAATGAATAGATCCTCCAGAGTTAAGCTGCAGTGCCAGAGCAAGTGCTCATGCATAAATGGGGCCACCAAGGCTCTGCAGGTGGCCCTTTTAACCAAGAGCAACATGGCAGCCTTAAAAAAAGAGTAAATCCCAAGAAGATCTCAAAGAGATCTAGAGAACAGGGACTCCATTTTGTGATGAGAGGTAAGAAAAGATCTCAACAGAAAGATCCCATGACAAAAGAAATTCCACACACTGAATAAAACTACCTTTGAAAATTCATGACAAACTTTCTCTATATTTATGTAAAAAGTGGTAAATATAGAGAAAAAATTTTTAAAGTAATTTAAAAATACATGTGTAAAAAGCTGTACCAAAATGAAATGCAGCCAGTGTACAGTATACAAAATCTTTCCATCATCCTCATAATGTGGAGGACAAAACAACGGGACCGACAGTTCCGGGGGGACATGGGAGAGGGGGAGGTGGGGGGAAGGGAAGAGGTGTTAACAAACCCAGGGACAAGGGAACAA